TAATACTTAGTAAAAGTTACACCAGTGTTATTATAACCTTTCTCATTTTAAAATATATAAATTATTATTTAAACTTTTAAATTTATAATAAATAATTTAAATTATATCATAATATTAATTTTAAATAGAAATAAGTAGATTGTTAATTATAAAAGTAAGTATATATAAATAAAGATTAATTAAATATAATATAATTATTATTAGTAATATAATTATTATATATTTATAACGGTTCGGACACACCGGAATGAGAGGGATCCAAAGATAGTATAAGTATGAGATTATAATTGAGAATGACTTAAATGAATTAATTTGTACTACTTATATTGACAACATGTATCTACTTTTCGGTTGTTTATCTCATCAGAACTCTACAGTTAATTGTGTTTGACTTGGAGAAATATAGAGATGGGTAGCCTTATGGGATGTTTCCCAGAAATTGTGTGAGGACAAAACATGTTAAAAAGTGAAGTATTGTGAAATAGAATCCTTGAGAAGAATAGTGATCGAATTTGAGACTTCTATAAAATTTAATAAAATAAAAAATAAATATTTAGCGACGGGTGCTTTAAGGGTCCCAATTTCGATTTTGCGACGGTTTGTGCAACGGTTCCAGTAACCGTCGCAAAATTCACTCGTGACGGACATTTCTACGACATTTGGTGAACCGTCGCAATGGTGTCTTTGCGGCAGTTCTAACCATCGCAATGTAGGTCATATAACTGTCGCAAAATCGTCATTTTCTTGTAGTGAAATATCAAAGAATTCTTCTACAAGAAGTAATAAACTTCTAAGATTGATACACAATGATATTTGTGGACTTTTTATGTTCTATTTCGGGGTAGTGAAAAGTATTTTATCACCTTTATTGATGACTTTTCACGTTATTGTTATTCATATCTACTACATGAAAAGTCTCAATTAGTGGATGTCTTATGTGTTCATTAATGAGATAGAAAGATAGTTAGATAGAAAAGTGAAAGTTGTAAGGTTGGATAAAGGTGGCGCATTTCATGGAAAATTTAATGATAGTGGACAATATCTATGTTCATTTGCTAAGTTCCTTAACAATAGAGGCATATAAGCACAAAAGATTACATGCTCACATATAAAAGGTTAGATCATCTTGAAGTGGTTGGCTATTTGGATTCAAACTATGTTGGATGTGTGAACTCAAGGAAGTCTGCATTTAGGTACATCTTTCTTTTGGTTAGAGGAGCAATGTCATGGAAAAATGTAACAATATGTTATTATCACTTCTACCATGGAGGCTGAATTTATAACATGCTTTGAGGCCACAATTCAAGTATTATGGTTGAAAAACTTTACTTTAAGATTTGATATTATTGATAGTATAGCCAAATCGTTGAAGATTTATTGTGATAACTTTACAACTGTCTTTTTCTTTGAGAATGATAAATACTTTAAAGGAGCAAAACATATGGATTTAAAGTTTTTGTCACTAAAAGAAGAAGTATAAAAGTATAAAGTGTGTATTGAGCATATTGGTACAAAATTATTGATAGAGGATCCATTGACTAAAGTTTTACCACCCAAGATATTCATTGGTCATGTTGATAGGATGGGGTGTTATGGATAAGTCCTTGTTAACAATGTAGAGTGATGTGTATATATACATTATAGTTATAATGCTTGTATTGTATGACACTTCTAAATTCAATTGAAGTTTTTTTTATTTATCTTGTCATTCATGTAACTTAGTAAGTTATTGTTTAGAGTTTAGTTAACTCTAGAAAAAAAGGTATATAAGGTTTTCTTTGAGAACGAAACCTCATAAGCTCATTCTCAAAGAAAATCTAAAGAGAAGGGCTTTGGTTTCGTGAGCTCTTTTTCTCCCAAAATTCTCTGCATGATTCCTCTTCTCTTCTAGATTACTAATCTCTTCTGTCTTTTCTTGGAATTCAGGCTAGGAAGCTTGTATTGGAAGATTGAAGTCTGCGGGTCGAACTTCGAGGGGGGATTCTTCTTCTTCTCATTTCTTGGTTGTTTTGAGCTAATTTTCAGGTGAGGGAAGCTAGAATGTAGGTTTTTTGGTTGCATGTGAGTTTAGGAACTCAATTGGTACATGAGTCTTGGGAATCAATGGTTGAATTGAAGGATTTTCTCATTTTCGGAGTTTCGGGCAAAATGGGGTTTTTTGGTGATTTTGATGCATCAGGTGAATGCATATTGAATATGAGATTGTTTTCAAATTGTATGGAGTCTATGTATTATGTTTAATGGACTACATGTGGCTAGATCTTCTGATTTTCAAGTTTTGGATAGAAATTCTGAGTTTTTGGGGGTTGTTGCTTAAATTTGTGTCGGGCGCACGTTCTTGGCATTGGGCATGCATTCATCAGAAGTAGTCATTTCCTAATCACATCGGGTGCGATTTAAGATGGGAGCCTCTAGATGAGTCACGCTGGACGTGAGGAGAACCACGCCAAACGCAATATTAGATGGTGACTTTATAGGGTGTTTTACTGATATAGCGTCAGGCGTAGAGCTGGATGCGTCGGGCGTGAAGGCCCCTGAAAGTCTTTGTCTAAATGATGCCGGGCGTGATAATTCCACGCCGGGTGTGGGAGAACCTTAGAGCTCTCAGGTTGGGTTTTGGCCGGGTGAGAGCTGACTTGCATCAGATGTGAGTGTGCTTGGTTTATGATTGAATATGATGCTTACGCATGTTTTAATGTTGAAGTTGGATCATGTTTGCATGATATATGACGAAGATTGGTTCTTGATTCATATGTATGCTTGGTGATGATATATATGAATGTGTTAAAACATGATTTGGTCTGTACTTTCATATGAGGATGATGATATTGATCATGATGGTGGATTGACCATGTATGATGTATGATGCATTATTGCATGTGATGCCTTATGGTATGTGTCTAGCCTAGAACTTGAAGAGAGGAAAAATGTTTTCGAACTGGAAGAGCTCACATAGAGTCTCTTGAGAGTGGTGCTTGGATAGGTCATTGAATTATACTATAGTGGTGCTTGGATAGGCCATTGAATTATACTATAGTGGTGAAACTGTACTTCCAAGTGTGTAAGCGACATCATCCGAGTAAACCCGAGTGGGGATTTATATCCCGATTAGTTGTGACCGAGCAGGTGAATTGGACGTGAAAATGGTTGGGGTGGTTTCGGTATGATGAGATGTACTTATCTTGCTCTGTTATTAGGGAGATCTTCTAGGTGAATGCATGATGACGCATTAGATGATTGATATGCATTGATATTTGTCATGAGTTGTATTTATTGCATGAGTAGTGTATGATAGAGTGTATGGTGTGACTCTACGAGAATGGTTGGTGATTTGATGATGGTGTAGCATAGATGTTTATTTTATGCTTACATGATTGATTTTTAAACTCTAGCTTACCCTTTTATTTCCATGTGGATGGACTGTGATGATCATATTGTGTGTGGGAGCAGGTCAGGGTTAGGTTGGAGCTGGTTGTTGTGACCGACGCGCGAGATGTGGAGTTTTATTCTAGTGTCAAAGTTACCATCTTGGGTAACTGTTTGATTGTACTTGACCGGCACTAAGAGAGTATGGATATTTTGGATGACTTTGTGTGTGTGTGTGTATATATATATATATATATATAGTATTATGTTTTGTACATAGACACGTAGTTCATTATTACTTTAAATATATATGTATATATTTGGTTATCCAGTTAACATCTTCTCTTAGTTGACTAGTGTATTTAATGTGATTCTACTGAGTGTAAGGATCATGGCGGGTCGTTACAATTCACATTATATGATATACATTATTGCTTTAATGAGATCGTAAAATGTGTCTTGGAAAGGACAATAAAGATACAGAATTAATTAAAGTTGACTTAAATTGAATGACTTATGATACATAATAAGAGCCAAGTTAAGATAACTTGCAATCACCACGATTCAATCATTTTAATTTAATAAAGATGGTAAATTCTAATTTTAATGTATGGTGCGCTCTTACATTTTAAAGTTGAATCTTCAAGTCATCACATAAGTCAAGTGAAAGAATGTTAAATTATTTAATCTAATAATAACTTATGTAATTAAAGAATGACTTTTAATGAAAAGATGTCTAATGTGATAGTTATTAGACTTAAAATATATTAAGAGAGTCATTGGAGAAGATTTTTAAGTTATTAATAAGTTAATCTCTTCCTTCTCACTTCATTAAGGGTAATTTTTGGCTATAAAGATAAATAATTTGGAAAAAAAGTTATGGAAGTTAAGAGTTAGTTTAACAAAAAGACAACTTCTCTTTTTCTTTCGTGACTATAGATTACTATTGTTATCATGAAAGATTTTGTGAGAAATTAGAAAATTGTCAAAAACACATAAAGAAGTTTTAACACCATCATAAAGACAGAAAAGGAAATAAGTGATGAATCTAAATATATTTTATAAATTTTTTTTATAAAAATTACATAATATAATAATAATGAAAAATATATCATCTAAAATTTTTAAAATATACTTTTCTTGATTGATAAATACTATAAAATTACATATAATAATAAAATTAACTACCATATGTCTCTAAATTACAATAGTGGTTGCAAGCATTGTGACTAGGCTAATGACTTAATATATTTTATATTATTATTCAATCCCAAATTATATCGATAATTTTAATAATAACTACCTTTTAATAACATGATAAATATATATTTTTAATTAATTAACATCATTAAAAATTCATTGAAAAAAATATCATAAAAAAATTATACCAACTGTAAGTATATATCCTTAATTATTTCTAAGATAATAAAATGGGTCAAGTCAGTTCACGTACGACTTGTCAAAAATTGGTTGAATTAAGTTAGTCGGTAGATATAAATGGGTTGGACACTTTTATCTATCATATCTAAAGGTGGTTAGTTTGTTAAAAAAAAAATTTAAAATTTAAAAAAATTTAAAAAAATTTAAAAAAATTAAAAAAAAATTACATATTTATTTTGAGTTACATTTTCAATATATATTATTTTTCTTAATATTTAAATGACTTACATAAATTAATATATCTAAATAATAATAAAAAAATTATAATTAATTTTATTTAATTTACTTTACAATAAATCTCAAATTACATATAATAAAATAAATTAAATACATAATAAATTTGCTACACAATAAATAACATATTACACATAAAATAAATATAAAATAATGTAATTAAACCTATATTAAATTAAATAAATTAGACAGATAACAAGTTTATCTTTCTCAATCCATTATTTGACTTGACAGACTAATCAGGTCAAACTCGTGAACCGCCAATTTTTTATGGACCGACCTGCGGCTCATGAGCAGTTTTGGCACCTTAGGTGTCTCTCGCTAGAAGTTGAATCATGGTCCTTGCATCCAAATTACAAACATTTAATTAATCTTCAACAAATTTCAGAAAAATATGGCAATGAAAATCAGAATTACCACAAATGAAAAAGGGAAAAAAAAAACAATTATTAAAAAATAAACAAGAACCACAACTTATATATATAATAGCATCACACGTATAAGTCTGTGTCTGTAACCCTCATATTATGATTCATCCAATGGTCCATTTCCACACCTTCAACCGCACATCCACTTCGCATTCCGTATTCTCAGTTATCGCCGTCGCCGGTTTCTCGCCGTCGGGTAGGGAAACGCCGATGCCGTCGCACAAAACTCTCACTCCGACGCGCGGCGTCGTCAGCACCCCCGTCTCGGCCGCCACCTTGGTCTCCAACTCCACCTTCAGAGCCACCTCGCTCTTGCTCCTCTTCAGCTGCGCCACCGCGTCTTCGGTGCTCGCGACGGTGGCCTCTAGCACGGTGGTGTTCCTCTGGGGTTGGCGGAAGGCGGGGATGGTGGCGGCGGCGAGGGCGGTATCGCCGCAGAGGATGGAGACGGAGGTGGCGTCGTAGGAGAAGAGGATTTTAGGGTTAGGGTTTGTGGTGGAGAGGGCGAGGTGGAACTTTGCGTCGAGGGTGGAGGGAGAGGTGAGGTTGAAGGTGGTGAGTTTGAGAGAGGTGAGGGAGAAGGTGGGGCGTTGGGGGTGGTAGAGGAAGTAGAAGACGGTGGCGCCGCCGCCCAGGAGGAGGAGGAGGAAGAGGAGGATCAGGAGGAGCCAACAGCAGAGGCTGCAGCCGCTTCTGCTGCGGCGACGGTGAGGCGGTTGGGGGCGGTAGGAGAGGCGGGTGGCGCCGGGAAGGTTGGATTGTGCGGCGGGGAATGTTGGCTTTGGGGTGGTGGTTTTGGCGGCAGGGTGAACCCTATCAGTCATTTTGGTGGGTTTAGGGTTTGTATTTTGTGTGTATAGAATATTGGAGGGAGAAGTTTAGGAGTAGTATGGGATGGGTTAATTTATGTGTGGATTAAAGTTAAAAGATTGATGGATTCATAGTGTTGTAGTCAATTAGGAGGATGGAGTTGGGGTACCAAATGAACAACAGATTGCAACATTCCAACACATTGCTCTCACTTCATTCTAGTTACTTCTTTCTCCTTTAACCACAACTTGCTTTTGTTAACCAAATCAGACAGATACAAGAAAACTACACTCGTACATTCTATATCACACTTAAACTTCATTTTCTAAATATGTATCATGCTTCATTTTATTTTCTGCCATGTTTTTATTATTATTATATTAATTGATATTATATTTAGACTTAATCATGTATGTTTAAAATTGTTTTTCTACTAAATTATTTGTCATTTCACCATGCGATCCAACATGAATTCATCTGAATTAAAAATATATGTATTGAATTATTTATATTAATAACTTCTGGCTGATGACTCTTATTTTATGCATGTTTAGTAACTATAGTGAGTTTCATTTTTATGTATTTTCAACGTAAAATGTTACATTATTAATCAAACATTTCATGTATATAAGAAAAAAAAATTATATATATACTATAAAATGAATATATAAGAAAAAGTTATTTTTCCCTAAAAACAAAGTTATTTAAGGTATATAATTCACATTTTATTTTATTTATTTATTAATATCAGTTTAGCCTCCTGATTTAAAAGGGTTTCATTTTATTATTTTTATAGTATTTCAATTATATCAAATAAATAATTAAGATTCTTAAAGACTATATTTCCACATGTTAGTTCACACATGACATACATATAATTCTAATTGAATAATAAAAATCATATAATATAGGTAATATATTATTATTGAATTACGTGACGCATACTACCTACCTAGCTCCAGTAGTATGGTATCTCACTGTACATCAGTACATGCATGCATTATTTTAGTGATGAATGAGAATAAAATGAAGGGTTAATTCACACTTCAAAGCAACGTGCGCGCATGCACGAGTGAACCTATACAGTATATATTATCTTCCCCATCTATTAGTTAATAGATAATTATGTTATATGATGTTAAACGCTGCCATACTTATTCTGTTAATTATCTGCTATTTCAATTCTCTAAAATTATAGTAACAACTCGATTATAATGCAGTTGCCTGTGACATCAGAAATTCCCAATTCTAATTGCCGATTAATTATCTAAACTGCAAAATTTGTTTTATCATCACAATATGTATCAATCTGCAGACAAAATTTATTAGACTACCTCATTAATTAGAGCAGTGATCTATGATACTTAAGTAGTGCCTTACTAAATCATTGCTCAAATATCTAGAAATAAATAATTAAGCAAAAAGACAAATAAGATCCCACGAGGTCAGCAGTCCCATTGAAAATAAATTTGTTGCAACTTGATGAATTTGCAACCAGTGCTCCCTTAGAATAATCGTATTAATTGATTAATATATCATTAACACAATGAAAGTTAAGTAAGAAGTAACCAACCAGCTAATGCCAAATTGATTCATTACCTTGTCATTATTTCCTTTTTTTATCAGTGAAATTGATTTCATACCTAGTTTTCTACCTATATTATATATACATTAATTCAACACTGAACTGCTACATGTAAAATTTATTAATTTTTATAAAATTTATTTCTCCACAATTAAGTGATTCAATTAATTAACCACTTTACAATGAATTGACGACTCTGTATGGCATGGATACATATTGTACCTTTATTAATAATGATTTAATAAAAAATTTATTTTAATTTTGTACCGTCTCGGCCGATTTCCGATTTTGCCTACCTTCATAGGCTGATTGGGATCCGACCTTACCCTCTCCTGAACTAGATCGGCCTTGTTCCGATCCCCCCGCCTTTAAGACCCTGCTCGGCAAATACCCGACCACTCCCTCGGTATGGGTCTGGTCGGTCGGAACCTGATCGAAGATATCCCCGCGTCAGCCAAGTGTTATCCAAATAATAACGGTTAAGGAGATCCTCACATTCACGGGGCCCGTAAGGCCCATGAACGAGAAAGTATAAAACCTAAAACCCTAAAGCTAAGAAGACAGATTACACTTTTGAATGCTCTGGCTCTAAGGCACGATCTAGGAAAAAACCTTAGTCCACCCTTTGACCGGAACATTTTGGCGCCCACCGTGGGGCTACGGTAAAACTTTTCCTACGCCCCAAGTCACATAGAAGAACTAGCACTTTACCATGGCAAGAGGCGGCAACAACAACAACGATTCACAACACCCTACCATGGAGGAGATGATGACCATGATCAATGGCTTACGGGAGGAGAATGCGCGGTCCAGGGAGAGAGAAGAGGCCATTCAACGCGAAAACGAGGAGATCAGGAGGCGAGCGGATGAGATGCAGGCCAGAATAGCGGCCAGTACCAGGACGGTGGAAGAAGACGTCATGATGGAAGTTCCTAGGGATTTTCGACCCTTCTCGGAAGCCATAGAAGCCGAGATCATCCCCAGGGACCATCGGATACCCCAAGTGGAACCTTTTGATGGAACGCAGGATCCCAGTCAGCATTTGACGGACTTCCGAGCTCAAATGTTGATCTGTGGAGGGAGCATGGAAGTCCGCTGCAAACTGTTTATGGGGACGCTAAAAAAGGTGGCACTCGATTGGTTCAGTGGTCTCCCTGACTGATCCATCACCGACTTCGATGTCTTCAGTCGGCTCTTCATGGCACAATTTGCCGCTAACAAGAAGAAGCTGCCGATCACGTCAGACTTGTTCGATCTCAAGCAGCAGCGGGAGGAATCGCTGAAGGACTTCCTGCAAAGGTTCAATGAGGTCGCCTTGAGGATAGCATCTTTAGATGAAAGGATGGCTGTCATTGCATTCTAGAAGGGCTTGAGGTCTGGAGCTTTCGACATCGCGCTAGAGAGAGCAAATTGCCAGACGATGTCGGAGGTGAGAGCCTTCGCGCTGAGCCACATTAAGACGGAGGAAGGGCAGATCAGCAAAAGAGCGGCGGAGAGCCGAGAAGCAAGGGGTAGCAATAAGGAGGGAAACAAGCATCTCCGTCCGCGATCAGATTGGAGTAAGCAACGCGACCATTACAACATGAAGGAGGGCAATTACCGACAGACCGATCATGGTGGTCGACCAAGGGGCGAGTGGACACGTAATAACGATGAAGAGAAGTTTACTCCTCTCAATGTTCCTAGAAGGCAGATACTTCATGATGTCAATAGCGCGTCGCTATTCGAGTTCCCAGCGGCGACAGAGCGCCAGTTGGGTCCCTTCAAGACCGACTGGTGCGAGTTTCATAGGACCCACGGGCATTCTACAGAAAATTGCTTCGTCCTTAGAAGACAGATCGAGCGTATGATCAAGGAGGGGCGTCTGACAAAGTTTGTGGCAAGGAAATAGGAAGAAGGTTCGTCGGATAGGCGACATAGGCACGCACGAGACGACACCAGGAGGGATAGACACAGAGAGAGAACTCCCCCCAAGAACACCCCAACAGGGTCATCCGGCAGGAAGTCCATGGGGACTTCAACATGGTGGCAGGAGGATTTGCAGGAGGAGGAGTCACCTCGGCTGCTCGAAAAAGGTACACGCGCTTCGTCTTATCCGTATCGAAAATTCGCCGACCAGTGCAAGCCACAATTTCTTTCTCGGATGCCGACTATGAAGGGGTAGCTCCTCACGAGGATGATCCTATCGTCATTTCGACGATAGTGATGGGCTATAATGTGAAGCGCGTTCTGGTCGACCAGGGAAGTTCAGCCGACATCCTCTTTTGGGAAGCTTTCGTGGGAATGAAGATCCTCAGCGACCGGCTGGTGCCTTACGCAGGAACACTGGTGGGATTTGCAGGAGATCAGGTTATAGCTAAGGGATACGCCGATCTAGAAACGACCTTCGGTCAGGGCTCACAGATGAAGACGGTGACCATTCGGTATTTGGTGGTGAATTCTCAATCGTCATACAATATACTCATCGGCAGGCCTACGTTGAATAAATTAGGGGCTGTTGTATCAACGACGCATCTGAAAGTGAAGTATTTGTTACCAAATGGAGAGGTCGGAGTCATCAAGGTGGACCAGGAGGTCGCCCGGAAGTGTTATGTGGATAGTCTGAAGGCGAGGAGGCGTTTATACACCGCACCTGCTGAAAGACACATTCACTCCATCGAGTTGGACCCTAGGATGGGGCAATTTGATCACCGACCAGCCCCTGCGGAAGACGTCAAGGAAGTAGTGGTGATGGAAGGAAGAACGGTGAAGATTGGCACCTCGTTGACCCCTGAAAACGAGGAAAGATTGATCAAGGTTCTGCAGAAAAATGTGTCGGCTTTCGCATGGAACTCCAGCGATATGCCGGGCATCGACCCCGACTTCCTATGCCACAGACTAGCTATAGACCCTAACGCAAAAGCAGTAATCCAAAAGAGGAGGAAGTTCGGAGAGGAGAAACGAAGGGCCATTGCGGAAGAGACAAATAAGCTAGTACTGGCAGGACATGTCCGAGAGATCCAGTATCCGACATGGTTGGAGAATGTGGTGATGGTTCGTAAGAGTAATGGGAAGTGGAGGATGTGTACGGATTTCACTGATCTCAATAAGGCTTGCCCGAAGGATTCGTACCCGCTGCCCAACATAGACTGTTTGGTCGATGGGGCGTCGAGGTACGAGTTGTTGAGTTTCATGGACGCCTACTCGGGTTACAACCAGATCCGCATGCATCCGATGGATGAAGACAAGACAGCTTTCATAGCAGATCAGGCCAATTTCTGTTACAGGGTCATGCCGTTCGGCCTAAAGAACGCGGGGGCGACCTATCAACGACTAATGGACAAGGTCTTAGTGGATCAGCTGGGTCAAAATGTGGAAGCTTATGTAGACGACATGGTCGTGAAGTCGGCCAGTATTGATCGGCATTTCGGCGACTTACAGGAATTGTTTGACACTATCAGAAAGTTCCAGCTGAAGTTGAATCCCGAGAAGTGTTCGTTCGGGGTCCAAGCGGGAAAATTCCTTGGTTTTTTGCTAACTCATCGAGGCATCGAGGCAAACCCCGACAAGTGTTCAGCCATCATCAATATGAGGAGCCCATCTACGGTGAAGGAAGTCCAACAACTAGCAGGAAGGATGGCGTCCCTGTCTCGTTTCCTATCAAGGGCAACTGATAAGGCGTTACCACTCTTCCAATGTTTGAAGAAGAACGACCGCTTCACTTGGACCACCGAGTGCGAGGAAGCTTTCATGGAACTTAAGAGGTCTCTGTCATCGTCGCCGATTCTGACAAGGCTGCGGACGAGCCTCCCCTTACTGGTCTACATATCGGCATCCGACCGAGCAGTCAGCTCAGTACTTGTACAAGAACAGGAAGGTTCACAAATTCCTATTTACTTCGTGAGCAGGGTCTTACAGGGAGCAGAGACAAGGTACCAGAAGATCGAAAAGCTAGCCCTCGCGATACTAGTTACCGCTAGGAAGCTGAGGCACTATTTTCAGAGCTACGAGGTGGTAATCCAAACTGATTATCCGATTCGCCAAGTCTTGCAGAAACCCTATCTGGTAGGAAGAATGATGAAGTGGTCGGTCGAACTATCAGAGTTCTCCATCAAGTATGAACTAAGAGGGGCGATCAAAGCTCAAGCTTTAGCCGACTTCGTGATGGAGTTGACCCCTCCGGCTGAGGAAGGCACGGTCAGAGAAACCCAATGGATTCTATCAGTAGATGGTGCTTCGAATCTAGGAGGAAGTGGAGCTGGAATTGTCTTGGAAGGCCCGGAAGGAATACTACTAGAGCAGTCATTACGATTTGAGTTCCGGGCAAGCAACAACCAAGCCGAGTACGAGGCGTTGTTGGCAGGGATGAGTTTGGCGAAGGAGATGGGGTGGACGAGCTTGTCAGCTAGAAGCAACTCCCAGTTGATCACTGGACAAGTCGCGGGAACCTTCCAAGCGAAGGATCCTCAATTGGCAAAGTACTTGGAAAAAGTTAAGCTCTTATCGAAAAATTTCTGAGAGTTCACACTTAACCATGTACCGCGGGAGCAGAATTCGAGAGTAGATCTCCTCTCCAAGTTAGCAAGAACAAAGAAGCCAGGAGCCACTCGGTCGGTCATCCAAGAAACCTTAGCTCAGCCGAGTATAAATGAGCCACAGGAGAGTGTCCTTTTCATCCAAGAAGAGCTCAATTCGTGGATGGTACCCTATATTGCGTACCTGACTCGGGGGGAGTTGCCAGAAGACAAAAAGGAAGCGTCGCTGATACAAAGAGAGTTTGTCAGGTTTGTCGTCATCAATGAAAGGTTGTATCGAAGAGGTTTCAGTTCTCCCCTTTTGAGGTGTTTGACAAAATCACAAGCGCAAAGAGTGATGGACGAAGTGCATAGCGGAACGTGTGGAAGTCATATCGGAGGATGAGCTCTGGTATATAAAGTTGCTCGGGCAGGGTACTTTTGGCCATCTCTGAGGAATGACTGCGTCAATTGGGTCCAAAAGTGTGATGGATGCCAAAGACACGCAACATTTCACCATTCCCCAGCTGAGCGCCTTCACTCAATTTTGTCTCCCTGGCCTTTCCACAAGTGGTGTAAGAGAAGGTTAGGGCATTTCTATGGAAGAATGTGGTGTGCAGATATGGCGTTCCCCAAGTGCTATAGTCTCTGACAATGGGACACAATTTGCAAGTGCGAGAGTCCGTGATTTCTGTCAACAGGTCGGCATCCGAATGACATTCACTTCCGTCGAGCACCCTTAATCTAACGGCCAGGCGGAGTCGGCCAACAAGGTTATTCTTTCGGGACTGAAAAAACGCGTCCAAGACTCAAGCACTTCGTGGGTGGAGGAGCTTCCCCGAGTGCTATGGTCGTATCACACAATTGTTCATTCGTCGACCCAAGATACTCCTTTCAATCTAGTGTACGGAACAGACGCCATGATCCCGATCGAAATTGAAGAGCCTTCATGATGGAGTTCACTTGGAGAAGATTGATGATCTTCAAGTTCTCCATCCTTAGGACCGTGAATGTTCTTGAGGTCTTGACTTCAATGACTCTTTGAAGCTCCTTGAAGTATTCTTCAATGGAGAAGAAGTCTTGGAAGTAGGTTCGGTTTTCCTTAAGCTTGATGTAGAAGCTTGAGGAACCAATGCAAAGGTAGAAGATCTTTGGTGAAACCTTAGAGAGAAAGGTTTCTCTACGGTTTTTGTGAGGACTCTTGAGAGAGAAATTCTGAAGTTTATTTCTCAAATTTGTCAAAAGTGAGTACATAGGAGGTATTTACAAATATATAGAGAAAAGGTAGCTTCTAGGAGAAGCTAACCTTAACCATGGTTCACTAGGAACCATGGTAAGGTTTACTTAACTCCCTACGGTTTAGCAAGCTTACAAGGGAAGCTAACCTTGACCATGGTTCACTTAAGAACCATGGTAAGGTAAGCTTACCTTACTTGAGTTTAGAAGCTTGCAAGACAAGCTTCAAAACTCAAGAAGGAATGCTTGAAATTTCGGCCAAAGAGGAAAGGAAGGGCTAGGCGGCCTTTGGCTCAAAATGCTCCATGATTTAATTTGAAAATCCTTGATTTGGTTTAGTTAGGTTCATCATATGATGATGAGACCTAGCTAAATCAAATCTATGAAAAATTAGGAGCAAAATGAGTCCAATATGCAAAATTTTGCCTAGGCCCAACTCAGGCCCAATTTCTAAGCACACCCTCAAGCATTGCTAAATGTCACCCCCTTTTCCCTATTGAAAAAATACAAAATGAATGTATCAACTAGGGAGGTTAAATGGAGCTAAACTCTCCAAGTAGCCTACCTTAAAAACAATATACAATCACTAGGAAAAAGCAAGTAAAGTGCCTCACAAATACAAAGGCAAAAATAACCTATACAAGAGACTATTTACAAAATATATGAAAAAGGTCTTTAATATCATCCCATTCCTCTTGGTTCTTTCAGTATATCACCTCTTGGATTCCTTGGCCTTGGCCATAGTCTATCACTTCAGTATGCACTACAGCTTTTTCGGAAGAGGAATCCGACCAGGGAAGATGAGTTGATTTGGACTTGATTGCAGAGACAAGAGAGAGAGCAAGGATAAATCAAGTAGCAGCTCAGAGAAGAGCAGCTTTCAAGTATAACACAAAGGTCGTCCCAAGAGACTTTGTTGTAGGAGACCTCATTTTGAAGCGTGCTCAGCTAACACAGATAAGGACAAGCTATCACCTAAATGGGTCGGACCTTATAAAATTGATGATGTGGTCGGCAAGGGAGCTTACCGACTAAGGACGCTGGATGGAGGGATGATATCGAGAACTTGGAACGCTGCAAATTTACGCTTCTACTATAGCTAGTCTTTTCTTCCATTTGTATTAGGTGCACTTTTTCCCTAACTCAGTATTTTTTCCCCGTAAAAATAAGAGGGGTTTTTGCTGAGAAGGTTTTTAACGAGGCACCTCTTTTTCAATTCTAATAAATATCACCTCATTGTTTTCTCTTATGACTCCTAACATGTGTTATTTTAAAGGCGCAAAACTCGTGATTGTCGGCAAAAGTCCGACTAGGCGAGTATAAATAACTCGAAGACTGAAACTCGTGATTGTCGGCAAAAGTTCGACTGGGCGAGTATAAATAACTCGAAGACAAAACTCGTGATTGTCGGCAAAAGTCCGACTGGACGAGTATAAATAACTCGAAGACAAAGTTTATGATCCAGGTTGATGTTTAACTCGATACATTTTATTCACCATTGTTAACCGAAATTTTGGAGATTCGAGATATACAAATCAGATTTTGCATGACCCGTTCATATTTAATTCATCCTTCTCGTCGGGATTACGGCGACTCAGGGCGGACAAGTCGGGTAAGGACGATTCCCCTATTCGAATGTTCACTGTTTGATTCAGGATTTGGACGATTACTCAGACCAAAGTCCCATTCTTCAACCATGTCAGAATGGAAAATTTTCCACAATTACCTTGGAGTCGGCATTAGGCCGACCACTTAGTTAAACTCCATTTTAACACGGAAATTTCCCGTTTATTATTTTGAGTTGGCGTTTGGCCGATCACGTGGTTAAGTCTCATTTATACTTAGAAAATTTTACACAATTACCTTTGAGTCGGCATTGGGCCGACAACTTAGTTAAACTCCATTTTAACTTGGAAATTTTTCGTTATTATATTAAAGCGGCGTTTGGCCGATCACGTGCTTAAGTTTCATTTAAACAGAATTTTTCAAATTATTTTTGAGTCGGCATTGGGCCGACCAGTTGGTTAAGTTTCCTTTATACTTAGAAAATTTTCCAATTATTTTAAGTCGTCATTTGGGCAATCACTCTGCTTAAGTTTCTTTAAATAACTTAGAAATATTTTTGCTCAATATTTTGACTCGTCATTTGGGCGATCATATGATTAAATTTCACTTTGAACTTAGAAATATTTTCCACATTATTTTGAGTCGTCATTTGGGCGATCACTCTGTTTAAGTTTCTTTAAATAACTTAGAAATTTTTTTGCTCAATATTTTGAGTCGTCATTTGGGCGATCATATGGTTAAATTTCACTTTGAACTTAGAAACATTTTCCACATTATTTTGAGTCGTCATTTGGGCGATCACTCTGTTTGAGTTTCTTTAAATAACTTAGAAATATTTTTGCTCAATATTTTGAGTCGTCATTTAGGCGATCATATGGTTAAATTTCACTTTGAACTTAGAAATATTTTCCACATTATTTTGGGTCGTCATTTGGGAGATCACTCTGTTTAAGTTTCTTTAAATAACTTAGAAATATTTTTGCTCAATATTTTGAGTCGTCATATGGGCGATCAGTTCTGAATTGGCGTATGGACGAATACTTGGAAACCTCTTCTTTCTTAACTTAGAAATTTTTGCGTATAAAGTTGGTGTTTCGGCAAAATATACTTGAGAACTCCTAAGTTAAAATAAGCACAGTAAAAAGCAAAAGAACATATTTCATAAAATGTTTCAAGACAAGGACAACAAAAAGGTAAGGGCAACACAACAGAAATTGAAGATAAAGGGGCGAATACAAAGTTTGAAGGACAAGATCAATCGTCCTCGGGGGGGTCCACAAGTTCCCCATCCACAATCTCCTTGAAGTAGCCAAGTCCACCGAGATCGATATCGGCATGGAGGAAATTTACTTGACTTGTGGCGGCATCAAAACCTTGCATGAATTTCTTCAGAGAATCCATCTTGACCGCTTGAAGGTCGTTTTCGAGCTTCTCCACTTCCATCTTCACCACGGACAAATCACTCTCGAAGACATTCGCAGCATCGGCCGACTTGTCTCGTGCCAAGCGTGCCTCATCCAATTCTTTTTCCATCGCCATCTTCTCGGCGGCCCAGCTCTCCCTCTCGGCATCAAAGGCTCGGCGCCCCTCCAGGAGCCTGTCCCTCTCGAAGGTCACCCATTTCAAGTCCCCTTTCACTTTGCTTAATTCTCCCTCCAAAGAGTTGAGTTTCTTTCCTTGGAGCTTGAGGTCCCTAGCCATCTCACGAACTTTGTCTTCATTAATCAAGGAAAGGGCAGAAAGCCGGTTCGTCAAGGACTCGACTCCCTTGGCAATGGAAAAAGCGCTCATCTTTTCCAAGTCATCCTTGTCTCCAGCCAGCAGGTCGGTCTCACGAATATGGGCGGAATGATTAAATTTTTCATCCCAGAAAGATAAAGCCTTACCACGATCAGACCCGAGATCCACAGGGTCCCAATTATCCCCAAGGCACATGCTCAAAGTCCTTTCAGTAGATTGCACTTCAGCCTCGCCCTTATCTCCCTCGGCATCTATTAGTGTTTCCAGGTTCACCACCGAGATAGGCTTGTCGGATTCTCGGCGACGCTTGTGGGACGTCTCGACCACATTTTTGACCAAGGGAGTCGGCCTATCGGCAATGAAGACCTTCTTGGTCGCCGACTCCTCCAACCCGGCGACCTGGGAAGCCTTTTGTTGCTTCCACAACTTTGCCATCTCCCGATTGCTTAGACTAACCATCCT